TTTTTTTTTTTTTTTTTTTTTTTTAAGGAAAATATTACTATAAATTTAATTTTATGGAAGCGACGTTGAACAACAATAATACACTTAAAAATAAATAACATAAAAGGACAAAAAATTGAATCGATTTTGCATTTGATTAGTTTTATAAACTCACATCGTTGGAATTGGAAGTTTATGAGGTTGGAACAACACGAACGACATGTAGGATAGCGACATTGATTTTCCTACATGTCGGTAGAAAGGCACGTGACGCGAGACGCGTGGTCATCATTTGAGCGTTGAAAAATGACACGTCGGATCTGGGTTAAACGTCGAACCGTCAAAAGAAAACGGAGGTCAACGGCCGAACGGGGACTGTTCTTCAACTTTCACACAAACTGCTTCTCCCAAATTCTCAGGAAAAAGAATCCCAAATCTTCATTTCTTCTCCTCCGATCTCTCAATCTTGAAATGGGTATTTCATGGAGTAACAGAAGAAGAAACAACTATATTCAAAACCCACCTCCGCCGCCGCCGCCTCCTCCTCCGCCGCCCTACCTTTCTTCTTCCTCTTTCTATTTTCCACCTGAACCCCAATCTCTTTCTCCTACTCCACCACCACCACCACCACCGCCGCCGCCACCGCTGCAAACCCATCATTTCACCAATTCCCACCCTCCTCCGCCGCACATCCATCCTTACGGTCCAACTCCTCATCCTCCTGCCCCTACGCCTCAACCCTATTACTTTTCCGGTGGGTACAATTCGTGTAATTATGGGAACTCTACGATGGGGCGTTTCAATTTTCACCCTCATTATGCCAATCAGAGTAATGGGTGGCCCCAAATTCGGCCGGGCATGGGTCCGCCGATGCTTCCGCCACCGCCTTTGCCTTTAGTGGAGCATCGTCAAGCGAAGAAGGTTAGAAATGATGTGAATGTGCATAAGGATACTTTAAGGATTGAGGTGGACGAGCAGAACCCTGATCATCATTTGGTTTCTTTCGTTTTTGATGCTTTGTACGATGGAAGGTAACTTCAATTTTCTACTTGAATTTCACTTAAATGAGTTTAGATTTGTAAGATGGGCAATAGAATTGTTTGAATTGTTGTTCATGAAGCATAATTTTGTAGATTGCTGCTGATATTAGAAGATTTGTATTTATTCAGATTACCACATAGTTTCTTTCATCTGCTATGGAAGAACAGGCTTGGGCATTTTTTTCAGATTAGCACTGTGATAAGTTTTAGTACTAATTTTGATATCAATTAAGAACTTTTAGCTTGGGATTAACATTGAAGAAGTGAGGAGAAGATGGGGTGAAAAGCTTCAAAAGCGTATTTGACACTTGGGAATTGGGTTATTGTGCTATTAGCTTGAATAGTTGGGTCCTCTGATTTGAATGCTGTAAAAGTTTGGTGTTCCATTATATTTCTTGCAAAAAAGGAGTTAAATCAAGCTTCTTGTCTTAACTTTGATGTTTCTTTAAGTCGGAGCCTCAGGGGTAGGCGGGTGTGAGATCTCACATTGGTTGGAGAGGGGAACGAAGCATTCCTTATAAGGGTGTGGAAACCTCTCTCTAGTAGATGCGTTTTAAAACCGCGAGACTGACAACGATATGTAACGTGTCAAAGTGAACAATATCTACTAGTAGTGGGTTTGGGCTATAGCCAAACATCGGGCGGTATGCTAGCGAGGACGCTGGGCCCCCAAGGGGGTGGATTGTGAGACCTCACATTGGTTGGAGAGGGGAACGAAACATTCCTTATAAGGGTGTGAAAACTTCTCCCTAGTAGACGCGTTTTAAAACCGTGAGGCTGACATATTCTATTCCTTTACAGGGGAGTGAGTACATAACAACCAAAGCCTATCGCTAGCAGATATTGTCCTCTTTGAGCTTTCTCTTCTATGCTTCCCCTCAAGGTTTTAAAACGCGTCTACTAGGGAGAGGTTTCCACACCCTTATAAAGAATGTTCTGTTCTCCTCTCTAACCAATGTGGGGTCTCACAATCCACACCCCTTGGGGGCTCAACATCCTCGTTGGCACACTGCTCGGTGTCTGACTCTGATATCATTTGTAACAGCCCAAACCTACCGTTAGCTGATATTGTCCTCTTTAGGCTTTCCCTTCTAAGCTTCCCCTCACGATTTTAAGACGCGTCTACTAAGGAGAGGGTTCCACATCCTTATAAGGAATGTTTTGTCCTTCTCTCCAACTAACGTGGGATCTCAATAGGTCTGTTCTGGTTTAACCTGTAAATGGATAGAGATTTAGCCTCTATTACTCGAAGGCCTATGAGGTTTGTTCTGCTTTGAAAATACATTTCTGTTTCCTTTTCGTAATTCAAATTGTTTGCATGATGAACAGCATAACCATTCTATTCTTCGCCAAGGAAGAGCTCAACTGTAGGTTTGTTCCAGTATATCCCGATGCCTTCAAGCCAGTAAAAGTCCCATTTCAGAAGGGTCCTGCTCAGAAATTCTTTCAGCCTGTGGGAACTGGCTTTGACTTGGGATTTTTCGACTTCGACGACCTCTCGAAACCTTCACCTGCTGAAGACATTTTCCCTCTTGTTATATCAGCTGAGACTTGTTCACCCTCTCATTCTGACGACGAACGAATTGGTGAGCCTCGACGACATGACTCACACATGCAAATCACTCAAGCTGTTTTGGAGAAGAAAAATGGTAGTCCTTTACAAGTAAGAGTGATTAGGCAACTACTATGGATTGATGGAGTGAGATATGAATTGCGTGAGATATTCGGAATAGGGAGTTCATCGGCTGAAGGTTTCGACGATAATGACTCCGGGAAGGAGTGTGTGATATGCATGACTGAACCGAAGGATACCGCTGTATTACCATGCCGACACTTGGTAAGACTCCATTTTGAGTGTTTATTCCATGTTGTTGTTAGGAATCATGAATCTCCACAATGGGAGCATTAGCTCTCATGGCTTTACTTTTGGTTTCCCCAAAAAGGTCTCACACCAATGGAGATGTATTTCTTACTTATATAAACCCACGACTATCCCCTTAATTAGCCAATGTGGGACTCCCACCCAACAATCCTCCCCTCAAACAAAGTACATCATAGAGCCTCCACTGAGGTCTATCGAACAGCCTCCCCTTAATCGAGGCTCGACTTCTTTCTCTAGAGCCCTCGAACAAAATACACCCTTTGTTCGACACTCGAGTCACTTTTGACTACACCTTCAAGGCTCACAACGTCTTTGTTCGACATTTGAGGATTTTATTGATATGGCTAAATTAAAGGCATGACTCTGATATCATGTTAGGAACGACGACTCTTTACAATGGTACGATATTGTCCACTTTTAGCATAATCTCTTATGCCTTTGCTACCCATGGAGATGTATTCTTTACATATAAACCCATGATCACCCCTTCAATTAGGAACTCCCTCCCAACAATCCTCAACCGTTGTAACTTATGTAAAAAAATACTTACACACTTTTCTAGCTATCTTCTATCTTCTACATTTGATTCCTTGCTTATCGGTCGCATGTGCCCATTGCTCTCCGGATAGCTGGAATTGATTATAGTGTTTGATGCGTTTTATTTTAAAGAAGAAAAAGAACTTACATAAAAAAAACAGTAGACACTTGTCCCTTCCTTCTTCTAATCACTTATGTACTTAAATTTCCTTTCTTATGTTCCTTTGTTTGCAGTGCATGTGCACTGATTGTGCCAAGGAACTGAAGCGTCAATCCAACAAATGTCCTATTTGTCGTCAACCGATCGAAGAACTTATCGAAATCAAGATAAACAATAGCGACCCATGAGAATTTCCTGTTCATCCTATGTTGGATTGCCCTGGTATGGCTGTCAAATTCTTTGGTTTTTGATGTGTCATAGTCCCACATACTGCATTCTTTACCCCCACACACACACACATGTATATGTATGTTACTTTGTTCCTCCCATACACAATACAAGTGTATCTCATGTCTAACTATTGAATAATGCACCATACCAGTCGTCTGATACCCGACTTTCTACTGTAATGTATGATTCAAACACTTGGCGTTCGTGGTGTTTGCGTGCTGTTAGTACTCATGTTGATGATTGAATACAAGAATTGGGTGTGGTTGAATCTTAACAAGCTTAGAAGGGCTAGTTGTGAGTTAAGGAGAGGAAAATGATGATTTTGGTTTGTCTTGTTCTTTTGAATGATAATGTGGGAGTTGTATCCATTGTTGGTAACATGCTATAAATGGCCTTTTCATTTGCCTCTCCATTTATGAACCTCTATTTATTGAACATGTGGTGTTCCATGTGATGCATATGCAGCTGGGTCAATGTGATAAGCTTGTATATTTGTTTCCTACCTTGAGGTAATCGACTCCAAACTACCATTTCATCCTTAGCGCAGCGAGCAGATATTGTTCTTTTTAGGTTTTTTCTTTCGGGTTTCCTCCCAAGGTTTTAAAGCGCGTCTACTAGGGAGAGGTTTCCACACCCTTATAAGGAATGTTTTGTTCTTCTCTCTAACAAATGTGGGATCTCACAATCCACCCCCCTGCCTAGCGTCCTTGTTGGTACACTGGTACACTGCCTAGTGTTTGGCTCTCCACCACTAGTAGATATTGTTCGTTTTTGTCCGTTACGTATCACCGTCAACCTTACAGTTTTAAAACGCGTCTCTTAGGGAGAGATTTTCACACCCTTATCAGAAATGTTTCGTTTCTTTCTCCAATCGATCAGGGATCTCATAGTTGTCCTACGAATTAAGGGCATTATGTTTAAGGGTTGTTGGTAATAATTTGAGATGCCTCTTATGACAGTCGTCGAAGTGCATTTTGTTTGTATACGAGGGAAAAGAAAGGCAAAAGAGCAAAAGTTACTCGGGTTTCATGTCGGTTTAGGGTTTTGAGAAAGAGGCAATAATTGGGTCGGAATTGAAGAAAAGGGTAAAAGAAAAGGTTGATACTTGGGATGGTAATGTCATCCCTTAGTAGGACCATCCATTATTCTTTTTCAGATCTTTTGTCTCCATATATTGAAATGTCTACATTGATGGATAATCTTAATATTACCCTCTTAAATTTTCGAATTACTTTTACCCAAATATTTTTAAAACATATTTAACGTTCATGATCTACTTGAAACAAAATTAGTTTTTTCTCTCCGTATCTTAAGTTCACGAGGGAGTGAAACCAAATCATTCATGGACGACTTTTCCTTCGTCATTTTTTGCAAGTGATTTTATAATAGATGCGTTTTATCCCAAACGAGAAAAAATATTAATATTAATTACCAATTTGAACATAGTTCAATGAATAAAAACATATACTCTAAAAAAAAATGTACAAATGTCCTAATTAACTAGACGAGATAACCGTGCATGGTACAATTTAGAAGTGTAAAGTTGGGTCCCTAATGAAGGGGTGTGCCCTTAGACCAACTTTTATTGGTCAACTTTGACCTTAGCCTTTTCTCACAAATTACTTGATCTATACTTCACTATTATCACACTCTCTACTTTCAACTCATGCCTTAAAGTGTCCAAAAGATGCTTTAATTTGATGCTCTTTTTTCCCTGAGAGGGGTGAAGCACAAGCCACAATTTATACTGAATGAACCGAGTCGGGGCACATGAGGTACAAACGAGATTACTCATTTTATTTGAGACATGTTATGTTAAGCACTAAAGCATAGTAAAACCTCTACAGTGGGCAGGTCGTACCTTGTAACTATCGAGAGAGCTTTTTTCTTATTTCTAGAATAGCCCCAATTGGTCTGTCGAAAATCATGTAAATCTCTTTCTAGCATTTGTTCTATCGTAGGGACTATGTCCTTTTCCTAGACCTCTTGTGATAGCTCGAGCTACTAACCCATTCTCTCATGTACTCTTTTTAGGTAGCCTCGCTGGATTAGGGAACCACCACCTAGTCCTTAAGGTCGATGCACTCCAAGGTTTTATAAAATTGACCATACTTGCTTTTGTCTTACTTGTGGTCCCTCGACTCCATCTTCTTCAATTTGGCCATCGTTCACAAGATGGACTTAAATCTGGCTAATAGAAGTGTTGGTCGTCGTTGTGTCTATTTTCTAGACCTCTTAGTGAATATCTTCTTTACAAGTTAGGTTGTTTTCTCCACTCGAAACCTTATATAGACCTGTAACAAAATTCTCGTGTAAACATAATTCTAACGATTAAGATGCTATAAACCAAACGTGTAAGATTTATACGGTACACGATGAGCTATAATAATTAGCGCATGGAATTGAGAAGGGGCAAACAACTACTTTGCTTTAGCCACAAATCAGTGTTGTCGGAACCTCATCACAAAAAACGACACCGTTTCAGTCCCAACCGGCTCATTCAGCCAAGCCAAGCCGTCTAAGCTCGGGTCGGGTCCAAAATGAATTTTTAATTTTGGAGGGTTTTCGAAATCTCTGCAAAATAAATAAAAAAAAATAAGGTAAAAAAAAGAGAAGAGGGGGTTCCAGAATAAAGAGCTCTGCCTCTACGTTTCGGTGCAGCCAGTAGCGTTTTCCGGTTCTCCTCTGCCCCCGTTTCGCCTTCTTCCGCGTTGTTTTCTTTACATTTTTCTCCATATTTCTTGTCTCTCTCTCACCCAGAAAAAGAGGAAGGAGTGAACTACAGAGACCCCTTTAACGCGCCTATCCCATCTCTGCTTCTTTCTTCTCCTCTGTTCTCAGATTCCTACTTTTTCTAGATTTCATTCGTTGAGTTCCAAGAGAATCACGAACTAAAAACACCCATTTCCCAGATCTCTCTCTCTTTCTCTCACTCTTTATTTCACTTCAAGCTATGAGTAAAGAAGAGTTCTTGAAGATCCAGGTGCTCTGTATTCTTCAGATCTTCTCTGTTCTTCTTTTTTCTCTGTCTCCTCTGTTTTTCCGATGTTTGCTCACTCTGTTTTCGCTGCAGAAATGTGTTTTGAAGGTCAACATTCATTGTGATGGATGTAAGCACAAGGTCAAGAAAATCTTGCAGAAAATCGATGGTACTCTCTTCATTTCCCCTGTTTTTCTTGTTGGCTCTGCTTCGCCGTTAGCTTGATTTGAACTGTTTTGAGTTTTTTTAAGGCTTTGAGAGTGATGGGGTTTGCGTATTTTTAAATTCTGGGGTTTTCTTTTGTGTTTTTCTCTGTTTTGTTTAGGGGTTTTCACAACTGAGATCGATGCAGAACAGGGGAAAGTTACAGTCACTGGTAATGTGGACGCCGTTGTACTCATTAAGAAGCTGTTGAAATCCGGCAAACATGCAGAGGTTTGGGGCGGACAACCGGGAAACAACAAGAATCAGCAGAACAACATAGCTAGTCAGATGAAAAACATGCAAATTGACAATGCTAAAGGTGGGAATAACAAGGGTCAGAACCAGAAAGGCGGCGGCGCTGGCGGTGGTGGTGGTAATGGTAACAACTTGCCGAAAGTTGGACAAGGGCAAGGGCTGCAACCGGCGCAGCTTCAGCAGCTACAAGCGATGAAAGGGTTTCAAGATCTGAAGCTTCCGCCTCAATTTAATGGCTTGAAATTGCCTGTTAAAGATCAGAACCCGAATCAGGCGAAGGCTGGGAAGTTTAATTTGCAGGAGGGTGACGATCTGAGCGATGAGGATGATTATGACTATGATGACGAGGATGATTATGACGATGACGATGAGTTTGATGATGATTTGGGTAATCTTCACCTACCTCCGGCGAATAAGATGAAACCCATGATGGGGAATGGCCAGATTCCGAAAATGATGATGAATGGGAACCAACCGGCGGTGATGAATGGTCCGGCCGTCGGTGGAAATGGCGGAGGTAACGGTAACAAAGGCGGTGGAGCTGTGCCGCCGGTTCAGGGGAATAACAATGCCAAGAATGGAAACGGCGGAGGAGGTAAAGGAAATGGTGGTGGCGGTAGCGGTGGAAGCAACCAAAAGCAGGGCGGCGGCGGAGGAAAGAATAACGGCGGTGGTGGTGGCGGTGGCGGTGGGGTGACTAACAAAACTGGCCACGGTGTGGGGAATGGGAGCAGTAATGGGATGAACAGCGGTCAAAAAGCGGCCGGTGGGGCGAACGGAATGGGTCATGATTTACAAAGCTTGGTCGGTGCTCATGGACTGGGCATGTCCAATTTGAGTCAAATGGGCAACATGGGTGTCCAAATGGGTCAAATGGGCGACCGGCCGATGGGCCAAATGGGCAATATTCCAGCCGTTCAAGGTCTTCCCGCCGCAGCCCCAGCCCCAACCATGAACGGCGGTGGCGGCGGCGGTAGGTTTTCGCCGCAGGACATGGCAGGTCACCCTTATCAACAGAACCCACAATACATGGCGCAAATGATGAACCAACAGCAACACCACGCGCTCGGTCACCAACCAATGATGTACGCACGGCCACCACCAGCAGTAAATTACGTACCGCCGCCATATCCATACCCGCCGCCGTACCACCCATACCCCCCGCCTCAACCAGAACCCTACACGTACTTCAGCGACGAGAACCCCTCAAGTTGCCACATCATGTGAAACCCACCATACCACCACCACTGCCGCCGCCGCCGGTGGCGTCGATGGCGAAATATCAGATCAAAATCTGCAAAAGCTACTTGGGAATGGTCATCTCTTCCAAATTTAGCCTTCATCATATTTCACCCTCTTGTTTTCTTTTTTCTTTTTTTTTTTTTTTGGAATTTGAAGCTGGATTAGTGTCTTTAATCATATGCTTAAGACAAAAAAAAAAAAAAAAA